TGGATCCCATATTCTGTAGCCATTTGTGTTGTATCCAACGAATATTCCTTTCTTGCTATGACTGTCCAACTTTTTCAATGGTCTGAGAATTTTAGTGTACACTTCTGAACCAAAAATCTTCAATCCAGCCAGATCTGGTCTTTTACCATACAATTTCTCCACTTGCGTTCCATTCACTGTCACTGTTGGACTTCTGTTTAGCAGGTATGCAGACATGAGTACAGCTTCACCCTACATTCTCTTACTTAAACCTGAGTCAAAAATCAATGTGCTTGCCTTTTCCACAATGGTATGGTTCATCCTTTTGGCAGTGCCGTTTAGCTGTGGCGAATATGGTGTAGTAAATTCCATTACAGTCCCCTTGTTCTTACAACATTCTCTCAAGGCGTTGTTCTTATATTCCCCTCCATTGTCGCATCTTATTCTTCTCACTCTCATATTGAAGTGACACTCAGCTTCATTTACATATTCCTTCAAAAAGCTATACACTTCACTCTTATTTTCTAACAGGTATATCTTACAAAAATGTGTATAATCATCCACACATGTAAGGAAGTATTTCTTATTATCGTAAGTGGTGGGATCAATTGGTCCATACATGTAACTATGAATTATCTCTAATGGCTTTCCAGCCCTACTTCTTTCTGTATCAAATGGCCTGCATACAAACTGAACATATATCAAAATTTTTACACTTGTTCACACTTTCTGGTATCCCTTGGCATATCTCCTCTAGTTTCCTAAGATTCGCATAACTTATGTGACCTAGCTTACTATGCCACTCTACACTTGTATCTTGCTGAGTCATCATAGCTTCATTTCTCGCACTAAAGTTAATTACAAACAATCTGTTTTCATCCTTTTTTTCCATCAATTACAACATTTTTGTCCTTGAATATCTGGACTTTCTCTTTTGTAAACAACACTTCTCCCATCATTTTCTATAATACAGTGAACTGACAGCAGGTTTTTGCTGAGTTCTGGAACATATGAAACGTTTTTCAAACTACACTCTTTAAATTCCAGAATGCCTATTTCTTTTGCAGTCATACTTTGATTTTTTTTGCTACCTTCATAATTGAGTATACTGCTTAGTCTGTGTCAAATCAGTCTTCACATTTGTCATATGACATGTGCTACCACTATCCACTACATACATCTTGTCATTTTTACTTGCATCACTCACGTGGGTTTCTGCTGCTTCAGCTAGAAAATTGACCTTGCTTCTTTTATTCATATCTTTAAAATAACGGTCCTTTTCAACATGGTTCATTTTCTTACATATTGTACACTGTTTTCTAGTATCATCATCCTTATTTCTAAAAAGAGTCCTTTTCAGAGTGATTATTCCTTTTACAGATAGAGCAATTTCTCTTACCTTTGTTGGGGCAGTTGATCTGGGCATGACCTATTTGATTACAATTGAAACACTTGAAAGGGGGTTTTACTTCTGGTTTTAGTTACCGTCTTAAAGGCTATGCTTTCCTCTTCTTTAGTCGTCATCATCCACTTCACTTCTTCCAACATTAATCTGGCCACCAGGTTGCCAAGGGCAGTCAAGGGTTCTGTCCACGGTCGCCGTTGAGTCCCAAGCAGTGCTGAAGTGTTTGTAATCTTCTGGTAGAATCGCTGTTATTTTTGTCATGATCATGTTTTCATCGATGTTTTGGTTCAGTTGACGAAGCTTGAAGGCAATATTCTGTACATGACTTATATTCATCATCATATCCTTAGTTTTGTCATACTTGAAGTTGTAGAAGTGTTGTAGCAGAAGGCACTTCTGTTGAGAGGTGTCTTACTGGTAAATTTGCTTCAAGGTGTTGTACATTTCTTTCGTGGTTCTGCATGTCACATTGTGGGTCTTCACATGTTTCTCTATCGTTCTCACTATGTAGTATTGGCACTTTGCATCTTGCATCTTCCATTTCCTTATATTTTCTTCGTCTCTTCCTTGGTCACTTAACAGGACGCTGCCATCAACGATGTTTATCAGTTCTTTTGCACGCATCAGAATCTTGATTTCAAAATCCCACAATGGAAATGAGTCGGCGTCCTTCAATTTTGGCAGATGCGTTATCTCTTCTGTCTCTGTGGTTGCCATTTTTCGTTTTTTTTTCTTATGTCTTCTCCTTTTTTCTCTTTCCTTCCTTCCTTCCTTTTTTGTGCAAATCTGGGCCCATAACCTGTTGATTTTCTTTGTGTTTTGCTTATATATCACTTAAGAGCCATATTGGATGAGAAGAACTTTTATTATTATACAAAACAAAAACAAATGAATATACATAGATCACTATTACCAACTTGAACATTTTTACATTACTAGATCTCTACACATACAACCTTTGTCTGCAATCGTGAAGATGGGGACAGTACACACTTCCAAAAAATCAGCAACATATATACAAAAATTCATAAGCCAAAAACATGTAAATCAGACCTTACTTGCATCTGTGAATATTCAAAGGTGCATGTTACAGATTGGTCCAGCCTATGTCGAACTGTACCTGTCTACTTCATTTGGAACACTGACATTACTTCAGACTGTTACACCAGTTGAGCCCCTTCTACAGAGAGTGGTGCACCGTATATATTGTCACCCTTTCCTCTCTCTCTTTGCCAGATTCATCCTGTATGGAGAGTCTATAATGGTAAGCACAAAGTTTTCACAGTATTGTCTGCATGTAAATTACCTGAGTTTAGAAATGTGCAGGCCCTCTCATAACTCACCAGCATCACTTTAATTAATTCCCAGGGCAATCCATATATGATTAATTAGCTGTCTCTCTTTTGCAGGGTCTTTCTGTAAAGTTAATAGTTACTGCTCTGATCTAGAAAGTCCCCATGCATGTGAAATCTGTATATTTATTACTATGTTGAAAAGAGCCTGTCACTTGAGCCTATCCTGAGCAAGTTTACTTAAGTTTCCACCTCCACAGAATAATTTCTAAAATTTATTCTGACATTCTATTCCCATATGGTTCTTCTTTTAAGATATTAAAGTTAAATTTTGTAACATTTCTTGTTTCCCTTGTATTTTCTGAATCATGTATGTAAGAAAATGCCTTATTTTTGCCAAATAAATGATTATGCCACAATTCTACTCCACAGATTGAACGTGACATAATGATATGGAATCACAAGACTTACATTGAGAAACCTCTTCTGGTAAAAGAAGATCAGTCCATTCGCAGACACCGCCACTGGTTCAGTCAATTTTACTCAGAAAATAGCCCCCAGTTCAGCTTCCAGCAAGAGAATACAGACTGGTAACTGCTGTACTCATTGATTATAGGTAAGTTGGGAAACTCCAGATTCTTCATGCATAGAGCAGGTTTATGCACAAAAAACTTGAGTGTTGTGTTCAGGAGGTACTCAATTCAGAACTCAACCAAGTAATCCAGATTGGCACTTCTCCTTCTTGCCTTCCTCAGTCTTTCCATCCATGCACTGGGGGTTTCCTCACTCAGGAACCACTTTCAGAACTCCACTTGACGATCATTTTGTCACATTATAGGCCCTGCACCAAATGCACCTCATGGGGGTGCGCCTTTAGCATCCTCTGAATGGACTGATGGTTTATTCCAGCCTGTTTCTGTAATCTTTTGATGATTGCTTTGGTCTGACAGCACCATTGTTGTTGTGTTTCCATTGGTTACCCTTCACCCAGTTTCAGTTCCAAATGATATACTTGTATATCTCTAACAGTTCAGTGAAACACTTTATGTTATGTGAGATCTGAGGTTCTCAGAGAAGTAACTATGAAGAGCACGGTCTTCTGGGATATGATGTAAGAATGTCTGGTAGAATTCTGTCGACATTTTGGAATATACTGCCTCCATCTTCAGGGTTGAAGAATAAGTGAAGCGATATTTTAATTATAAATCTTTTTAAGGTGCGAGTAGTTGTCTTGCTTTACAATTAAAAGAAGACAAGGTAAGGTTGTCAGTCTGTGTTCTGGTTTTTAGATGCTTATTGTAGATATATACAATTTTTATATTACTGTATACTAGTCTTTATTTCAATTTATTATATAATTAATGTATGTTATACAAAACTCATTAATGACATTATGTTTTAACTATTACATTTTTAATTAATAGACTTGCATAAAACTGTACAAATTGTATAAGGTTTGCCATTACTTTTACTACTAAAATTAACTTATTTATTATATTGTATATGTTTATCAGTATTTTATACAAATGTGCATGCTATTGGATGACAACTGTAATCCTTAGTTGTGACTGTAACAAGGACGATCTCCACATCCGCATGAGAATGTACGCTCGACAGGATTTATGGAAGGTGAATAAATGAACTGAAATGAGCAAGCAAGCAAGCAGTAAGCAGAGGATTATTTTACTTAGTGCTTGCCTGCTTGGCTTATTCTTCGGCTCTGAATAGGTAGTCTGTGGACTTTCCTGACAGATCGGTAAATTTCTACCAGATTACATGACCTAATATCACAGAAGATTGTACACTTATTTGATACTACTTGCTTGTAAATGCGTTTCATTAAAAAAATAGATGCTAGCTAAAGAGCCAGGATAGGTCAATTAGTATAGCATCGGGCTGCAACCCGAATATCCAGGGTTTGATTGCTGCATGAGTAAAAAAATATTTCTCTATTCCACGGTTTCCAGAGCGGCTTTGGGGTCCACTCAGCTTCCTATTCAGTGGACTCTGAGGCCTCTTTTATTGGGGGAAATGTGGCAGGGGCGTGAAGTTGACCACTCATCTGCATTTAGTACTGAGGTCAAGAATGGGGTATTCTATACCTCCACTCCCCCTTGTCTTCATGGCATAGTGCTTAATTAATTAAGCATAGGGATAAATTTACACCAAGTCCAAGTAAGTAATCTACTCTCTGGTAATAGGACTCAAAATTTTAGTATACCAAAGCCAGCCATTGGACATAGCCCCTGGGTCCATTCAATCAAATTCATATCCTCAAAACTTACTTCACTACAATAAGCTTTAGGTCTTTGCAACGACATTTGAATTTACTGTATCCTTCATCTCCCGCAGCCTCAGGTATATTCTTAAGCATCCTGCTTTTGACTTCCTTGTTTGACTGATATGTTGTCAAAAATTACTGTTTGTTTCAGATCTTGAACTGTGAATGTCAACAACATGATACCCTAGAGATAGCACCATTATTGGGTACTAGAGCTCTTCATTTGGAGCATTTGTGTATAATGAGTGTCACTGATATTTAGGTTTCAAAGCTGATAATATTTCAACATTTTGCTTCCTCAAGTTTCACAGAGTAACAGAAGAAATTTAACCAAGTTAGTGGCTGTGACTGACTCCATATCTTCTATTACATATGCAAATAGAACCAAACTTTGCATTTAGGAACCGCTCAAATGTAACAATTTGCAGGAAAGACTTTTTTTGCTTCTTATTAATTCCTCCAGCAAAATTAATACTGTCAAATTATCAGATCTCATCTGTGAGATTTGCTGAGTTCATAGTGATGTCATGCCAATCTGACAGAGAGAGGCAGAGGAAGAGAGCTTGTTTTGTCTAAAGCATTAATGATATCATTCATTGTGAAAACATTTTTACCTCACTGCACTTCCATTCTGAAAGCTGTTCTGACAATTCTTGTAATACAGAACCAATAAACGAGTAAATTATATAAAAAATGTAACAAATGTAACTAAATAAATATGTTACTTAATTCATATCCTATGCAACATGCGGCAAATGTTTTTGCAAGTGAACAGTAGGCCTGTAGTATAGTACATCCACTTCCACATCACTGATCACAGAATTTAGAATACCTACTCCCAATCTTCAAATCCTACACATCTATTTTTAATTTACATTTTGTTTGTGTGGTGTCTGAAATCAAAAAGATTGTGTAACCTAGATTTAAAAATTAGTTAAAACTACAGCTACTACTACTACCTATAGCTGTACATTCCACAACAGTATACTAAAATTGTAAACAAGTTTGTAATTATGAGTGTAATCCAGTGGCAAGACTGAAAGTTGCAATAATGCACTAGTGCCTTCTGTGCAGAAACTATACACAATCATATCAGAAAGTTGCAATAATGCACTAGTGCCTTCTGTGCAGAAACTATACACAATCATATCAGAAAGTTGCAATAATGCACTAGTGCCTTCTGTGCAGAAACTATACACAATCATATCAGAATTACACGTAGATTTTCCGGTGGCCAAAGGACAGTTTTCTCTGCTGCATAGTAACTGAACTGGGAAACTATGTCTGCTCTACCTGCATAGGGCATTAGATCAGTTATTGGAAGTAGAGAGCACTCACTTTTCACAGTATAACATCCTTATACAGTGCGTACAATCAAGTGCGCGCCGCGGCTGCAATTTGCCGTGAGTCATACCACCGCAGAACGGATGCAGTCGCGGGGAGGAGTTGCGTACTTGATTGTACGCACTGTATAAATCATTTAAAAAGTCATGTTTTCATAATTCTAAGATATGCACTGCATTATGGTGTAGTTAGTAACAGCTTGTTCCTAATGAATTATAAGATGCCATGTTGAATATTAATTTAGTTCATTAGTTTTGTTATGCTTTTAAGGTTAGAAAACTTGTCCTTCTGAAGATGGTCAACCCAACAGAGACATGTTAAGGGAAATGAAATATTGAAATACAACTTTTATAAATCAGTCACGCTGGATGGTGCTGCGAGTCATTTTATTCCATAGAAAACTTTCTACTTGTAACCAGTAACTATGTTTATATTTTGCCATCACATACAAACCTGTATATAATTATTAAAACTTACATACAATATTGTCACAATTCTAACTACAAGTTCTGACCTTAAGATGATCTTCAGGCTACATTACACCTATTCTCATAAAACTACTGTTAAGGTCTTAAGTTGTCAGTACTGTTAATTTAGCGGCAAGTTCCGTTATTGTGATTAATTTTAAGATCTGAAATTGATGGGCAAAATTATGAACATAGAATACTGAGTAAGGGTACCACCTAACTACATATCTATCCACAACACAATCCAGAAATGAGAACATCCTAAAAAGTGGATTGGCTTAGGGGTAATGCTCTTGACCAACATTCAGAAGATGCTCCGTTCGAATCATGGTCAAGATTCCAGCTGTCCTGGTAGAGATATTTTTGTGCCAGAACAATACACCATTATGTCACAACTTCTTCTTTCCAAATATTTTCTAATTTGTAACACATCTAGCTGAAAGTATGTAGCCTGGCTACTGACAGCACTGTAAAATAACTTAAAAAGAACAATGACAAGAAGACTGTAAATTAACAACAAAGACATTTAAAAAACGAAAATCACAACATGAATGTATCTACAATGCAGGGATGTTATTTGAGAACTTGCCGCTAATTTTTCAGCTGTTGAGGAGGAAGTTCCACACACTACTTGATCAGATCAATTTGTGCACATTCTGACACATGGCGTGATTGACAAGCCAACAACCTACACACATTACAACTTGTCTTCAATACCACCCAAATAAATCATCAGTGACTAACGTAAAGCGAGTTTGTACGTCATGTGCCAGCTCACTCATAAATTCCAAGCCTCATTTTGCTACTGCTATTGAGGTTGAGGTTTTGACATGTGCAGTAAGCAGTCATGACTCAGTTATACCTTAATGTTACTATCATGTTTCAGGATGTAAAATGCAACAGTAAAGGTTTAATTTTATTATGTTTCTTAGGTATGGAAAACTATTAAATACAGTAACATTAATTTTTTAATAATATTTTGTTATTACCCATTATCCTTTGGGAATAAAATTTATGAGCAGAACTACAGGTTGGACACTAATAAATCATGAATGATGTGAACATATTGTAGAAAATTTGAAAGTCAGTCAGTCAGTCAACAATTAAGAGATAGCAAGAAACACTAATAAGCTAGATGGCCCAGTACTTCACATCAAGATGATGAGGATGGCACTTTAAACTAGTAAATTATGAATAGCTAATTTGAGTGCTCAACATCTGAGCCATAAGTCATGATCTGTAATCATGTAAAGGAGAGCAAATTTAATGGTGAATGAAATGCTGTTATTGTACTATATGATATGTAAGACAATAAATGTATGAGATATATTCTAAATGTAAATCTGAGAAGTTCGGAAGGAGTATCAAAAGAAATGGAAGTGTGGATGTATTATTCTCCTCTATTATCAGTGTAAACATCCATTAATTCATTCATTTTATTTTTCTTCAAGTAATCCATAACAGTGATCATCACCTAGGATATAGAAGATGTCCACATACAATAAAATAAGATACAATAGTGGCCGTACAACAAGCAGCCTTGTCAGTTGGTAATACTGTAATACAAAGACATTACACCCTATTCAGTAATACAACAATACATTAGTATGATACATTATACACATACAACTGCAAAATAATATACAAATGTAAAATAAGTGTGTAGGTCAATATAAAAATGTGACCCAAACAGCAACATAAATAAAATTTGATTTCATTTATCAGACCACTCAAAGTATTCATTTATTGAGTAAAAAGATTCCTGTAAAAAAATTCTTAGTAACCACTTTAAACTTATTAACATCATATAGCAATTTCCTTATATCCCACGGCAAATGATTGAAAATCTTTATACCCATAAAGTAGGGACCTTTCTTGCATTTGGTCAAGTTAACCGAAGGTAAATACAAGTTAATGCTTTGTCTTGTATTTATTGTATATATCTCGCTGCTAATTATAAATTTAGATTCATTTTTTCTACCAGCAACAGCAAGGAGTACATGTATTGAGAATAAAAAGGTAAAATATTTAAATGTCTAAAAAGTCTCTGACAAGATATTTTGGGGCTCACAACTTTCTCACAACTTTCACAACTATCTCACAACTTTTTTCTGTTAGTGTCCTTGCAATAAGTGTGATGATGATGATGATGATCATCATCATCATCACCACTACAGTCACCATCATCATCATGTTTGCATATAACCAGAGTAATTACTAAGTTGAATTCTGCTCGTTTTGCTATTAGAACCCTCAAATTGTTTTTAACGATAGAGAATTTAGGGATGGTATATTTTGCATATGTTCATTCTGTCATTACGTATGGTCTTCCCTTTTGGGGAAATGCTGTTAATAGCAAAAACGTTTTTATAACGCAGAAGAGAATTATAAGAGTTATTTTTAATAACTCTTCCCCAAAAGGGAAGAGCATACGTAATGACAGAATGAACACATGCAAAATATACCATCCCTAAATTCTCTATCGTTAAAAACAATTTGAGGGTTCTAATAGCAAAACGAGCAGAATTCAACTTAGTAATTACTCTGGTTATATGCAAACATGATGATGATGGTGACTGTAGTGGTGATGGTAATGATGATGATGATGATGATGATGATGATGATCATCATCATCATCATCATCATCATCATCATCATCATCATCACACTTATTGCAAGGACACTAACAGAAAAAAGTTATCGTGAGAGCTACAGTGTTATGATGTGGTTCCTCCAGAATATCATGGAAAAACAAATGTTAAAGCACATTATGTATCATGATGTTTTGTGATCATCAGATCTATCACCATATACAGGGAGTATGTGTATAACACATGATAAAGATAAAATTATTTGAAGTAAAACTTATAATTATGTAAATATTCTAAAAAAATATATAAGTATTTAAAATGAATACATATGATTATAAGATCTAACTAGCTCCATGGAGATGAGTTCTCCTTGAGAAGCCACCAGTTGCTGAGATACTCAAGAATTTCCCAACATCTTATGAAACCACAACGTTCACTTCCATGTTCACAAGAGCCCACCACTGGCCCCTATCATGAGTCACTTGAATTCAGTCATTCTACTGTATCTTGTTTCTGCAAGACACATTTCAGTGTTATCCTCCCACCTACATCTAGATCTTCCAAATGGTCTATTTCTGCCTGGCTTTCCTATCAAAACCCCATATGCATTGCTCTTCCAGCTCATGAGTGCTATACACCCTGTCAATCTGATCTTCTTTGACTTGATCATTCTAATTATATAAGTTATGAAACACTTTATTATTCAGTTTTCTCTGGCTTCATATTATCTCATCCCTTTTGGGTTCAAGTATTCTCTTCAGCAACTTGTTCTCAAATGCTCCAAAGTCTATGTGGTTTCCTTCTTATCAGTAACAAAATTTCACACCCATATAAAACTACAGACAAAAGTATTACTGGAAGGAGAGATTTACGATGTACATCGTTGAAATGGCTTCATGTGGCCTGATACACTTACCAAGTTTCATAAAGCCTGGTACAGGTGTTTAAGCACTATGAAGGTTTCACCTGGTTTTATGAATTACTCCATTGAGATGATCTCCCGTGTTATGATATTCATACCAAGTTTCATGATGATTGGTTCAGGCATTCGTGTAACATTTTATTTATTACCACAACAATTTGAGAGGCTCTAATGTTGATATTACTGATCAAAGGGATTTAAGGAGTAAGCCATTAAGATGGCTTCGTGTAGCATGATATACATACCACGTTTCATGAAGACTGGTACAGGCAGGCGTTCAAGCAATATTAAGGTTTTGCCAAAGAAATGTGAGGGGCTGTAAAATTTGTATTATTGATGGGAGGGATTTATGAATTGAAAGAAAGGTTTGGTGCCACCTCTGTCCAATCTGACCTGTACTCCCACTAAATCTAACTCATAT